TTTTTTTTTTTTTTTTTTTTTTTTTTTTTTTTTCGAAAAGTCTACCACCACAGGATACGAAACATATTAATCCACAAGAATCTGAAAATTCAACAGTGTGTTGTTTTTAAATAGTGATTCATCAGGCAAACCTTGTCGCCTCCTTCCACAGTCAGGGTAGGTAGCAGAAGAGAGAAGAGAAGAAAAGAACACCGGAATGCGCGTGGGTCACGTAGATTTGCGTCGGGCCTGCGTACCTGATACTGGTCGTCCTGGTCTGGCTGAGGCTCGGATGCCTTTTCACAGGTGTTCTGTAACCCCTTCTGGGACAGCAGATCCACCAACCGCCGCAGGCCGCTGACAGGAAACTCTCCCTAAAGTGCTTCGACATGAAGCCGTAAACGATCGGATTTATGCAACTGAAACAGAACGAAATTCAACCTTTTCTCTTTTAGCTTCATCGATCGAAAAAGTTGCACCTAAGCGAAAAAAATACCGAGCCAATGATTGATGTAGTTTGATAAGGTTCGAGAAAAAATAAAAAAACAAATTCTATACGAAATGGTAATTGTAAAAGGAACACATTGAGAAATAAAAAAAGAGGACAGATTAATGTATCATTGTAGTTATAACGTGATGGGTGAATTTGACCTGATTTAATCATTTTTATTATTATTTTTATTATTAGTTTTACATTAATTGTATCAATTAAATGTTGATTTTATTAATTTTTTATTGATTTTCAAACTTATTATCATTATTAACTTTTAAGTGGTATCACTTGGCATTGGGAATCGCAATAATTTAACTCTTTAGCTCTTTAAGCGTATCACTTTAAGATATTGCTTAAAATAATTACAATATATTGAATAAATACATGTATCGAAAGATATACGTGCTGTAATTTTAGCGAGTACTCAAAGTACTGAAATTACTAATTTTTTGAATTCCGTTACTAATCCCCATCGCGCGGAATAAAAAATACAAAGCAAATTATTGAAATGATCTATAATTCAATAAGATACAATTTGAGTGCAAGAGAGCAATTTCACGCTTTTCTATTTATAAATGTGTGTTTTAAAACAGATGTACTTTGCAATAAAAAATAATTAAAGCGATGCTTCTCTTTTATTAACCTATTAAGAACCGAGTCACGGTTTGCTATTAATATTACAAATATTTTAAATTTCGTGAGACTGTAAAATCTAGACAGAGACAGCGACAAGCGAAAGATCCTTGCAATTTCCTTTCATAATCGAAAATAAAATTTGACAATGCAAAATGATAAGAATAAAATAATTAGTTCGAACGATTGGAAATAAAATGATTAAAACGACGTTTCTGTAACAAACTCCTGCAAACAATAACGGTATTAAAATGTTAATAAAAATAAATGCTAATAAAAGAACAATTGTTGTTGCAAAGGAAAAAGAACGTTTCCATATTGAAAGAGGAAAGAATAATCACGTGGTAATTGTCGTGCCCTCGAATAACTTAAGAATATAAATTTTCCGCTGCTGATACTCGCAGTATCAAAGCTGTTTCTCCAAACAATGAACAAACGTGCAACAAATAATAATTGTTCCCTGGTGTTAATGTAGCAGGATTGGTAATTTCCTCCTGGTACGGGTCATTACGCAAGCGAATTATTATTAACGACTTACTCGAGGACAATGAATTGCGTGAGTTGCGACCATTGACATTTAAACGGGAAAATCGATAACATCTCGAAGCTTCCCAAAAGCAACGATTCCATAGAAATTAATTAAATATTTTTTGCACTTATATACCGCAGAGAACTAATTCTCGTACTAATTCTTGGAGAAACATGTGAAATTAAATTATAGAGATAGGAAAAACGAACAGTACATATTTTTGGAAATGAATGACATTCGAATGACGAGTACTTTTCTTAATTCACGATATTGTTTGTACTTGCACTGCAAATATATATTAATATATTTATATATATTTATGTATTTAATTATATTATTTATATTACATATATTTAACTATATTATTGTGTTATTATAAATTTGCATTTTTTATTATTATGGTATAATATATTATATTTACTATTATAATATATTAATTTATTTAATATTGAATATCACTTCATTTATCTTGTATTTATTGTTAGAATGTAATTTTGATGTAATTAAAACAATATAAAATTTGTTTTAAACCAGCATAAATATGTATTATTATCGTTGTCATAAATGCACTTGAGTTGTTGTAAATTTACATTCATTATTATAATATACATTAATATTGTATATTATATTTATTTATTATTATTATCTAATTTAATATAATAATGTAATATAATTTGTATTAAAGAATGTAAAATTTATTTAAACTATTATAAATATTACATTATTATAAAAAAATTTCACCTAGTACGATCATGAATAAAGAGTCTATATATTCTTACTGAATTGGCTATTTCGACTACTCTTTCACTACGCTTTTAACGTTAAGGGTTAAACAAGTCGTGTTTAAAGTTAATCATACACTCGACTGGCGACATAAACGATGTCAACGTTTCGCAAACGACGAACGAAGGGGGGAAATGCGTTTCAATCAACCACGAAACTCCTTCCAACCGATCCAGCCTTCCTCTCTTCACTCGCGATCGTTAATTCAGCGACGAAATTAAACAAAACAGATAAGGAAGTCAGCCGAGTAAGAGCGGATAACAGCGTCGTTAAGTTGTTTTCCCTAGCAGTCCTGTTTAATGAATGCAAGAGTGACGCACCAGCGTCTGATAAAGTGGACAGTCTATCAACATACCTGTTAAAGTAAGCCATCAGCTGAAAGGCTGTGTTGAGATGTTTGTACGTGCCGACTTTTACGCGTGGTAAGTAGCCGTAGGAGGTGAGCATGTTGTCCACGAGGATTGGACCCCAGCAAATAACAAATAGCACGACCACCGCAACCAACATCTTCACCACCTGTCAGACAACGTTATTTTGTTATTTAACAAAGTCTGGAAGACTTTTTTTTTTTGTCTGATTCATTGATTCAGTTCTCATCGAAGAAGAATGAATTTGTTTTATTGGAGAAATATGAATGTTGTGATTATGATGATATTGCAATTATAAATATGTCGTAGTTTGTGAAAATTAATTTCGCTGGTGAAAATTCAATTTCTTATAAATGAATAAATGGCATCAAACAACATTCGTTTCACCGTAATATAAATTTTCAAAATAGAGAATAGATGAGAATTAATTTACTAGAAAAATATCTAAATTAAGTAATTTCTGAATATAATGTTTATTCTTTTGTGAAACATCTTTATTATCTTCATTTCTTATGGAATTTAAACGGCAAAAGAATCTGTCGAAATAGAGCAGTAAATTTCTAATTATAAATATAGTGTGTAATCATGAGAATATTGCAATAATAAGTATTTGTAATTGAGAATTATGTATTTTAAACACCTATAATCAATTTCAATTTAAATATTTTAAAATAATATCGCATATAAATAAACTACAGATTTTTATTCAGGTTCATATTTTTGAATATATAAATAACAAAAAGAAAACCTCGATGAAAAATTGTTTAATAAAATTTCATATTTGTCCATATTATTTGCATTCTGTGCAACTTTTCACTTTCATGTAAAAATTCACAATCTAATCGTGAATAAAATACTTATTTATTTAAGGAAATCATTATTTGTTCTGAAATTCTAACATACTCTAAAGATTTAAGTGATAGTTCAAATATGTGTAATATCACATTTTATTTTATATTTCAAATCTCATCATATGTATTTATAATTTAGATAATTATCTTCTAACAATTTAGATAATTATTAAAAAGACTTATTATTAAACATTATTTTCTAACTCACTCATTTTGAATTTTTCCTTTTTACTACACCATCAAAAAAAAAAATTGTCTTTCGAAATACCAACGAATAAAATATAAATTTATTATCAGAGGGTACGAAATGTAATTATTTTCTTCGTACACAGTGCCAGTAATGAAAATCTACGTACATTTACAAATTCAAATATTCAAAGAAAATCGAGGATTTTGCACATTTTATGGACATTTATTTATTGATCGCCGATCTATTCAAACAGATTCTGAAAGTTGAGATGCATGCATTAAAATACACATGTTTCATTACAAATGAGTGTAATAAAATGTAAATGTACTCCTCTCATTATAATCGTACTCAGAATACAAACTTTTACAGTTATGATAATTTTACAGAGGTTTTCGCAAATCGTCTTTTAAATTTATTTATAACATTCTTTTAAACAAATGCAAGAAACATTATCAATATTTTAGAAATGATTTAATTTTAATTAGACAAATTAATCAAGATGTTCGATACTCTTCTTTTCTTTGTTTTAAATATCTGAAATTTGACAAACACATGTAGATTTTTACGATTGTGTATGTATCATGAAAAAAAATCATTCAGTAAATGTACAAAACTTCTGTGAAATATTTGGAATGTCTATTTTGAATATTCTGATAATTTATATCATAATAAAAGATATTCATTAAAAGGAAATACTTCATTTTGCTCTTTCTTCGATTAATTCACATTTTATTTATTTCCCACCCAGAAAACTGTGAAGGAAAATTTCAAAAACTTGATTAACAATTCCTTCCACCAAAGTGAAAGGTATATTTTCTATAATTTTATGAAATTTTAAGAAACTGCATTTATAATACTGATAACCTTAATGGGTTAAAGTAGCTTTGACGACATCACAACTCGTTTCATGCCATTTCGTTTCAAGTACGAATGATTTACGAATATAACTCGGTAGGATGTTTTATTACCTCTTAAATATTACCATGAAGATTCGAACTAGATCACAGACGTTATAGACATTATTGTAACTTCCGTCTCGAGTAACTTCAATTAGGTCAAGGTCACGTGATCACGAATTGCTCGGGTCGACTTCATAAATTCAAAAATACAGAGAGACTTTTACTTTTCAGAATCTACTTTGGTACTTGCAAACGAAATTGCAAAAATCTCACTAGAACATTTATTTTGGCGTAATATCATTGTTGTCATTATCAAAATATTCGTATTTGATACATGTACATTTTAAACAAAATTCATATTCATTTGCGTCATTCTTTTTAAATTTAACATTCACTGCCCTGTTAATGCAGCTCACTTAATAAAATATTCGCGGTTGCATATTTACTTTGTAAAATATTCGAATGACGCCCGTCTAAATCTAAATGATAAAGTCGCGAATACAGTCGCGAAACAAACTTGATAAAATAAAGTTTGTCCTCCGAGGGACGAATTACATCGTAATCTTTTCATCGGGACGTTTCACAATCAGACTTGTTGAAAGATTAAAGATATTGATCGCAGACTCACGAGGGAAATAACTTCTGGATAACTACTGTTCCCTTCTGTTTCAGTGTTCTATCAAGTTACCACTTGAAACGAGTTCATCTTTTCGAAAAACTTTGAAAGTTCGTTCTACTTTTCGGATGCTTTTAGTCAGCACTTAAGACAATCAGAGATTATTCTTGGCTGAAATCCAATCCTTGTGATATTTGTTTTTAAACGTAAATCAATCCAGCTATACAAAAATTTTACGAACTGAACGCAAATTAATCGAATAGAAAGAAAGAAATCGAACACAAAGAAAGCCACCTTTCAATTGAATTTAATTCAATCCTTCGTTTGCATGCTTTTCTGTTTGCCCTTGTCATTAATTTCAGAATCGACTCGATTCATCATGTTGCCACGAATTGATCACCATATTTTTACTCTACGAAAGATCGTTGGATCGTGAACAATTTTATTTCTACATTTCCTCTCAAAAAGAACTTTTATTCATTTGAGATGAACATCCTTTAAAGATTAAAATCTGATTGTGTACAATACAAATGTGTAAAAGCTTCATTCAAGTAAACCAACACTTTTGTATATTTTTTAGAAGCCTAGAACAAAATTCTTCTTATAATGACTAATTATTTAAAAAAAAAAAAGAAGTGAATTGTTAGAATCATTCGGAATTTTCAGTGATCTACATTATTGTAAAGATACGACTGAAACTTAATTACAAGTTTACACAGATACAAACGTGCATATCAATAATTAATACATTATTAAATAATAAATAATAATATATGTTACTGTTATATTAATATTTTAATTATTTAATATTATATTCTTATCAGAGAATCATTGTGCATAATAAATGGACAACCGATTAAAAGAATGTTCCATTTGAATTTTCAAATGTTATGCAAAAATGCATACAATGTTCAAGAACATATAAACTATACGAAATATAATAGTTGACAATATATATTTAATATGTGAAACGAACTTCTATTTGGATCTTATTTTTTTAAAATATGATTTTTAAGAAAACATGAATTTATAAAATAACGTGTAATATCAGTAATCAAAAATAAAAATATAAAATTAGCCTATTTGTTACGAAATTGCATCGAGACTTTTCAGAATTCTACTAAAATCATGTAAGATATTGGAAATTGAGAATAATATTTATTCAATGGCCAGAGGCTATGCAATAATGTAAATGAATTATTAGAAAACATTCTCTTTCACAAATTTTGGAATTTTACAATTTCAGTTCGTACAGAATGATCAAGCAACCACTTTGCACTTTGCACTTGCAAATATTTATAGAATTTCACTATTAAAGGACGATGTTTAATTGAATAGTCAGGATATTTCCTTAATAAATAATATCAAATAAACATTAAATAATATTAATTAATTTACATATCCTATATTAACAAGAAGATATTTCCTTAATATTTCCAAAAAAAAATGTTTGTCGCATTTAGAAAGAGAGAAGGCGAGAAATGGTGGCCATTATCACAAACATAACGCTTCTCTTCCGATTTGGCACGAAGACGCTGCTTAAAATGCACAATAATTACCATTTGAATCAGAGTACCGGCAGTTTGCTTAGGCAAAACTGTCTGTTACGAAACGCTGAACGGAGAGTATCGGATCTTTTATAAGTTTCAAACTGCGGAAACTTCTACTTAAAACAGCAGCGAAGATTCTTCTGATTCGATTTAACAATATTACAGATATTTCAGATTGGCTCTCGAAACTTTCTACTTTATCACTCCTTATTTCGGCCATAGTTATTCTTGAATAATAAGTATATACGTGAATATGTTTCATTTTGCAACTCCAGGTCCCCTGCAATTTGCCTCGCAGAGGAGCTTGAATTTGACGTTACACGTGCCATAGCACATTCATCCCGAGCTGTCAGACACCATAATTACCAAGATCTTCTAGTAAATTCACTTTACGACTTCTGTTAGCTATTTCGGTTATTCTTGTTGCAGAACAATGTTCTTCGTTTAACTTCAATATCGCTGGTATTTCAGCTTTCTTCCACAGGTAACTTTTACAAATCTATTCACTTGTTACGTCGATACGCACTTAACTGACCGTGTTATTCACACGAATGTTACGTTTTCGATGAAACGTACAACTGAGGAATATTCAGATTTGCTCTATCCTCTCTTCGGCCCCGAAGCTATGGCCACTATTTGCATTTTAGTTCTCGAACCTCTTTGCGAAACTCTCAGTAATAACATTCAACGTACTACACATACATCCATGAATCTATTCTATATCTATATATATATATACTATATCTATAAGTAATTATTAGATCGTAAATTTTTGTGCATTTCTATATTTTTATAAACATAATAGAAGAATATAAATGAAGTTTTTTCGTTCTAGAGAAATGAAATTCCAAATGGAATGAAATCTAAAGAAATTTGTTTTCTCAAGCAAATATCATATAGCAAATACTCTACTTTAGACATTTCATATATTTTCGTACATTGCACAATTTGCATAGTGGATCACTGTCATTTTCACAACATTTTGACTTAAAAAGAAATAAAAATCATGTTTATATGACTCGA